TAATTTGTTTTTAGTTTCGCTTTGGCTGGAGGCTGCCGGCAAATCGCAAAAGACAATGCACTTCGAAGAGCTTTTTTACATTTTAAAAGAGAAATAAATAAAATAAATAAATAAATAAAATAAATAAATGAATTAAATAAATAAATAAATAAATAAATAAGTAAATTAAATTAAATAAATTAAAATAAATAAAATAAATAAAAATGAATTCGAAATTCGGGTGTATGCGCAGGCCTCTCCGGTGTCTGTGGTGCTGTGCCCCACTCGGGAGTTGGCGATGCAAATTGACGAGCAGGTCGGAAAAGAGTTTTTTTTGCATCATTTTTTCCAATTTTTTCAAATAAATGAATCTCCAAGTCCCAAAACTCTTCAGAAACTCACAAAGGCTTCTTTTAGAAACTTTCCGCTGTTTTTTTTGGCCCTTTTAAACCCTTTTTCGCGGTTTTGCCTTTTTCGCCTTTTCGGGGTCTTTTCGGGGCATTTTTGGGCTTCTTGGGGAACCCTAGGCTCCTTTTGAAACCCTTTTAAGTGTTTTTAAACCCTTCGGGGCCCCTCAAAACCCTTTGGGGTTTTTAAAAGTCCTTCGGGGCCCCTCAAACCCTTTAGGGTTTTTAAAAACCCTTTGGGGTTTTTAAAAACCCTTTTGGGTTTTTTTTCTAAACCCGATGGGGCACTTAGAGGGTGTTTTGGGCCGCATTTCGGTGTTTTTGGGTCTTTTTTGGGTCTTTTTTTCCTCTTTTTGCATTTTTTGACTTCTCGAAATCTCCTTAGTTTGATTTTGTTTGTTTTTGTTTGTTTTTGTTTGTTTTTGCGCGAAAAAGCCACGAAAAAGCGTTTATTTCTCGTGAAAAGGCCTTTTGGTGTTTCGGTTTGCTTCTGCAGCTCGCGAGGCTGGTGGCGGGCAGCGACCTTTCGCACAGCCTGTGGATCGGGGGCGTCTCCGCGACGGAGCAGGTAATTTGGCGAAAAGAGGCGAAAAAGAAGTCCTTTTGAGTGGAAATTTGAGACAATTGGGGCTCGAAATGAAGCGCTTTTAATGCCATTTAATTGGAAATGACGCAATCCGCAGTTTGCGAGTCTTTGCAGCTTTTTTGGACCCATAATAAGCGAGTTTTGGCATTTTTGGGGTTTGCAGTCATTTGTGGCTATTGCGGGTTTGCTAATTTAATTTAATTTATTTTATTTTTATTCACTTCTTTTGTTTGGAATTCAATTCTATTTGACAATAATGCTTTAGAGTTCCAGTCTTAACGATAAATTAGGGTTTAGGGTTTAGGGTTTAGGGTTTAGGGTTTAGGGTTTAGGGTTTGTCTGCAGGTGCACGAGATAAACCGGCGGCAGATCGACGCAGCTGTCTGTACACCCGGGCGAGTGGACGAGTTGTGTTTGCGAGGAAAAGTCTCTTTAGAATTTGTTCAACTTTTGGTTTTGGACGAGGCGGACGCAATGCTGGACTTGGGACTGCAGCAAGTCGTGGGTCTCCAAACCCTTTTTTAGGGTTTAGGGTTTGGGGTTGGGGTTGGGGTTTGGGGCTTGGGGTTTGGGGTTGAGGGTTTGGGGTTTGGGGTTGAGGGTTCGGGGCATCGCGGCCGGGTGTTTTGTGGCTGAAGGGTTTAGGGTTTAGGGTTTAGGATTTAGGATTTAGGGTTTAGGGTTTAGGGTTTAGGGTTTAGGGTTTAGGGTTTAGGGTTTGTGCAGATGACGGAGTTGGCCACGAGTCGGGACATGCCCGCGAGTCGGCAAACCCTTTTATTTTCTGCAACTTTTCCGGAAAAACTTTTATCTCTTTTGCCTCTCGTTTTGAAATCTCCTTTTTTTAAAATTGAAGTTCAAAGTGACCAAAACAAACTCCAGCAACAAGCCTCCATTCAGCAGGTCCGAGCTTTTCTTCATTTCTTTTTCTTTTTCCAATTTATTTTTTTCTTTTTTTGATTCTTATTTTTATCTTTTCTCTTTTTATTTATTTTCTTTTTTTGATTCTTTTTTGGTTTTTTAATTCGCTTTTTGGGCTTTTTTTGGCTTTTTAATTCTTCTTTTTGGCGTTTTTTGGCTTTTTTAATTCTTCCTTTTTGATTCTTATGTGTGGCTTTTTTGTTTTTTCTTTTTTGTTTCCTTTTTGTCTTTCTTTGTTTTTCTTTTTGTCTCTTCTTTTCGTTCTTTTAATTCTCCTTTTTTCCTCTTTTTGACCTTTTTTGTCTCTTTTGAATCCGATTTTGGTTTCTTTTAGACTCATTTATCACTTTTATTTTTTATTTCTTCTAATTTCGTTTCAACTCATCAGATTTTCTTTCAATTCCATTTAATTTCACTTTAATTATTTCTTTTTATTTCTTTTTCTTCTTTTCTTCTTCCAGGAAGTCAAATGGTTGCCAACATGGGAGGAAAAAATCGCAGAACTAATCAAAGACATCAGCGCCTTCAAAGAGTCCACCGCCGAAGACCCAGGGGCCCCCTCGGGGGCCCCCTCCCCCCCGGGGGCCCCTCCACCCCCGGGGGGGGG